TTATACTATTTCCCATTATTATTGTATTAAGTAGTTTTCACTTCCAACCCGTAGGTCTCTCTCCCTTTTCTCTGGCCTTTTCCCTCCCAGGGGGAGGGAGGGTTTTAACAGAGAGTGGTTGCCGCCCGCTTTAAGAGCTGGCCCAGCCTTAAACAGTGACAGAATCTCACTTTCTCACACAGAGAGACATCTTTTCTTACATTTCAGTGAGAAAGCCTGAATAACTTGTTCCTCTTTGTGAAAAAAATGTACTTTTTATCAAAACTGAAGTCCATCAGCTGCCTTAACATGTATTTTCTTAGAAGATTAGTTGCAAGGTTTTACACTCATCACAATGATAGGACAAACAAAAATGTTAGAATGCTCTACAAGTTAAAAATAGTCCAGAAATTAGCCCCAAAACAACTGACAGGTAGCTTCTTGAAATCTTCCCTTCCCTCATCCTTACATTTGGTGCCACTGTGTAGAAAAGAAAAAAAACCCAAAAAGTCCAACCTGTTTCCTTCTGATTAATTCTAAAAGCACCATGTTTAGAAAGAAAATCTTTTATTTCAGTAATCACAGATTTTAAAAATTTTGCCCAGTCCCAGCACACTTTGAGACACTTCTAGTTATTAATGATCTCATTTGTGTACTTCAGCCAGTATTCTGATTTCACTCCCCAGGCTCTAGATTATGAAGTTGCCCTTGGACACAACCAAGCCCCAAGAGCTGAAAGCACATACACATTATGGCACAAGTGAGAAAGAATGCCAATACTGAACTGAAGCCAGCCTTACTCTGTCCAGCTACCTACTACATCTATATGACCTGCAAACCCTTCCAATAAAGAGGCATCTTAAAAGAAGGGGCTATCAGATTAAGAAACAGAGATGGCAGAAGAGACTCTGTTATCTTGACTCAAACAGGACAGAAATTGTCTTTTCAGGCATTGAAGTTAAGAGAAGGGAAAACGTCATACAAAAAATCGTGACTGCCATGTAAAATTCAGACAACGAACAACTTCCTTGAACAAGTTTTTCCCACGTATAGTTATCCTTTTTGTTCAAAGCTTAATCTTATTTCAACGTCAAATTTGTGCAGCTTTCACAAATTTGTTCTTGCGCTGGCTTCCCCTCCTCTCTTTTTTAGCACTGGCATTATTACATATCTCATTGCTTATAAATGTCTAGACTTAAGACTTCTAATTACAAGTCCCCCTATCAAATACACCTTTTAAAATACACCTTTAAATAGTCGCCTTGCAAATACATCTTTTGCAATATGAAAGTAGCATTCATCTCCTGGAAGTACAAACATCTCCCTGTGAGTTAGCTGTGTCTGAGCCTTCCGCAGTGAACTGAGGGAAGTAAGATTGCAATTCATATAATCCTGAAAGGTTCATTTCTCTCCAACGAGTGCAGAGGGAGTCTGCACAATTAGCTCAGATATAAAGCAGAGGAGCTGAATCCAACCTTGGGAACTACCATTATAAAGTTCTTCTCCCAATATCTGTACCATTTTTCCAACTGTCTCCACCAGTACTTTCACATTCAGAAGTCTGGACACCAGGCCAGAATATTATTTATAAATAGTTTTATCCCTGCTCTGTAAAGGGTCAAATAATACTTTGATATCACCTTAATATTTCCTTTACATACAAATACTCATCCATTTGTATTTATTGATGAACTTATACGAGTCATCCATAAATGTCACACACAAATATTTTACACTAACTAGTTTAAGATATTTTAATTAATTTGGACCATGTTAGTAATACTGCAGCTCACTGATACCTCCTCCATACACTGCTAAAATTTGAGATGCATTTATCATCCAAGTAACAACAACTGTAAAGAATGAGCTATTACTTCTATATAAGCAAAGATTTCAGTCAAGTCACCATCAGCATCTGGCCAAATTACCTTGCAGAAATTAAAATGGACTATATCGATGCAATGGCTGTCATTCTTTTTCTTTTTTCTAAGATACAAAAGATTAACAGTGGTGGTGTGTTTTTTTGTTTTTTGGTTTTTTTTCTGGTGACAAGACCTTCTTTTCATTAAATTATGCTGACTGGCATCATTAATGACTTTTAACTGGCAGTTCCTTGTTGATACAGTTCCAAATTACCTGCATTGTTATTCAAGTTGGAATGAAAACAAACAATTCTCTGGGTCATCACTTTTTATTCTTCACAAGCTCTAGGATTACTGCAGCAGTTCTTCAATTCTGTGAAATTTTCCTGGTTTGAGATCTTAAAGTTATCCTTGCTGAATCAGAATTCTTTGCTTCATATTTTTATGACTATAAAATTACCCAAGGCCTCCTGACCTGACTAGATGATCCTACTGAAACTGTCTTTTGTCACTGTTCCATTCATATCATAAAGACCCAACCTTCTCTTCAAACAAAGAACTTGCTGCAACATTATTTGCTTCATGTTATAAAAACTTCCTGCTACAACTGAATTCCTTGATTTTTTTTTTTTCCCCCCCTATTAAGCTGCTTTAAGTTTTATCACTATCCTGTCTCTTTCAGATTACTCTGAAGTTTGCTCGGCGAAAGATGACACACTGGGTGGTCAACAAAATGTGTTTGGTACTTGTAGAAATGTGTGGTTTGGGCATATCTAATGAGACTTCTGAAGTACACCTCTTTTCAGAAAAAAAATCTCTGGTAGGAACAATGCCCCAGGCTCGTGCCTGCTGGGCTGAACACAAGCACAGTGAATTTAAAATCCAGTTTTAGTGCTTAAGGAAAAAAAAAAATAATCACAGCTTCTTCTCTCCCTTCAAACCCACTCCATACACATACTGACACTTTATATCTGGCTACCCCTCACCAACACTCTTAGGACTAGGTTATGTCGATTTTATCGAATTCATCTCAATTATGACAAGAAAGAAATTGATATAACGGTAACTGTCATTGTAGTAGCATGAGGGCGTGGCTTCCCTTAAGGATAAGCCAAACTAATAAACTGCTGTTGCCTAAGGGCTGAAATCTCACTCACACCTCCTTTCTCTCCTGCTGTTCATTCTCATTGCTTACCTGGCACTAGGCTTTGGCACTTCTCTGACTGCAAGGAAAGCTGATTTGACCCACTAAAACTGGAGAGAAATAACCAAGCAATAAAAAGCAAATTTATTGTGATGGCAGGATTTCTACTTGGTTAGTAAACTGAATTGGCTTATCAGGTTTCCAGAAAACAAGAGAACTGGTACAGGGAAGGGGGAGGAATAAAGTCTTCCCCTTTTAGTCGTGAAATGCTGTTAAACCAGATTAGCTGTAACATCAAACTGCACCTTCACCCAAGCAACAAGGAACCAAATTGTTCTGGAGGGAGACAGATAGGAAAGTAAATCGCAGGCAAAGGTCTCTAATCTCAGGCTCTCCCCTCCAAACATACCTCATCCTATATTGTGCATCTGGCTTACTGTTCTCAGGAAACCAATATTTTTCCTCACTCCTTTCTCTCCAAAGGATATGGATCAGCACCCTCAAAACCATGCAGCAAAAGGCTACCTCTCAGCCCTACAAAGACTGCAGAAAGAAGAGACTATGGAAAGCATGACAAGAGCCACTCAACCAAGGGACAATGCAGGGAAGAAGAGGCGAGAGATGGACATATTTCAAAGCAAGGGAAAAATGGGAGATGAGATTACTAGCTGTAACACATCGTTAACAAGTTGAAGTTTTCTTTGAACTGACCATCCACTTATTTTAACCATGCATCCCTGTTGCTTTAATCTGCAGGAAACAAGCTCTTTTGAGCTGCTTTTACTAAAGAGATGAAACCCAATCCTGATCATTTGTACATAAGGAACAAGCACTCTTCAGGTCAGCCATTAGACCAACTCTATCTATGAGATACCACAGCAAGGCACACAATCCTACAGACAGAACTCTTTTAAAGGACTTTGGTCTCCACGCCTTATTGATCATTTTCAGAATCAGGAAGAACAGTGAGATCTGCATCTCATGGTGCTAGCATCATTTTGGTGAGGGGGTTATCTGGGTAATATTAGGGTTTTGCTTGTTTCTATACGTCAAAAAGCTTTGATCCGATTTCTATTTTCCCCTGCATACCTCCAATGGAAATTATAATCCCTGGTTTCCATAGAACCATATGATAAGAGAATTGTACTCTGTTTTTTCAGATATATTGTTGTCATTGCAACACATGTATGGGTGTGTATATATATAGTTATGTATATACAGCAATAGTTTCTTTCTGCAAAATCTGATAAATTAGAATTTTCTTTCTAGAATGATGGCTATAATGAAAATAGTGAGGAAGATGGATTTTTATCTTTACGTGATATTATTGACTTAAAATAAATACACCACCACCCCCCCAGTTCTGAAATGGATGATTAAGATATTAAAATGTCCAAAGATTATTGTAAATGCTAACTTTCCAAGCAGCACATTCCATTAAATTCTCAGTACATCAAGTCTTGATGTGGAGGGAAGAAAGTTCCCATATTTTAGGATTTTATTTTCTTTTTTAATCTTTCAAGTGCCAACCCCTGCCCACTCTCATGGATGGCAAAGCTGTGTTTCAAGACATTTGTAATTGGTAGCCATTGTTAATGGTTATGCATATCAGTACTAAAATCATCAACATATGTTTACTCCAATACTGTGAAAGAGTCTATTACACATAGCATGTAGTGATTGGTAAAATATACCATGTTCAAGCACCAATGATTAAAAAAATACATAATTCCTGCAAATACTATTATACATCAGCTGACTTTTTTATGTTGGTAAAACAAAAAAAATAAATCATTAATGAAACACAAGGAGAAATAAAATTTACCTACCTTTCTGATAGAAGAATTTTCGATAATAATATGCACCAAGGTCTACATGTTCAACAATGTATCTTTTGACTCTGTCTAGATGTAAAATCAGATTCTCCTTAGGAACTTCCAGAACTGCTACTCCGGCATTTGTGCAATGAGAACTCAGAGTTGACTCAAACGAGGCACTTTCACACCCACTGAAGGAACCTGAATTAGATTTGGAAAGGCTGATCTTCCTCTCCCCTTCCCCACCAATCTCATTACGAAAATAAGGACAACTCATCACAAGTTCATTGCTTTTATCATCCCCCTGGTCCATATTGAGACTTCCTTTTGAATTCAGGTCTTCAGTGCTGCCCATTGGAGAATTGAAACTTGCAGAATGGGACAAGGGTCCAGAGACAAGTGATGCTACAGCAGCAGCAGATGCACCTGTGGTTGTGTTCCTTCTTTTAATAACATTATGCCTGTTGATTGCCGCTTCATTTAAATCAAATAAAATACTCTGCACATCATAATGAGCAAAGCACTTAGGACAAGTCCAAGGCTTGACGCTGTCTTCTGACCGGTTATCTTCAAGATCTGAAGACTTCCCAAGCTCCCCTTCACCTTTGGCATTGCGCAGCTTACGAAAAATGGATGAATCTCCTGTCTCTGATTTTGAGCGTCTCTTGAGCGGCTTCTCCCTTTCCTTAAAGAGTCTCAGGTTTTCCCTTTGAGTAATAGGTCCATCTATCACATCTAGAGAGAATCCTGAACCCTTGCTTCCACTGGCAATCAGGAGTTCACTGAGCTTACTTGTGGCTGGGCTTCTCTGATCAGACTTTTCATCTTTATAGCCCTTCAATAAGTCAAAAAAACTTTCCCCTGAAGTTCCCTGCTTATCTATGGAAGATGTGCTGCCATACTCCCTGTGCAGAGATGGTCCAGATTTAAAAGTGGGTGAAATACATTCATCAAAACTATCCACATCAAGCTCACTTATGGTAATGTCACTGTTGCTGCGCTGTCTTATTCTGCGAAGAGCTTTCCTCGGGGAACTGGGATAGCCATCAGGTGTAAGAAACCTGGAGTCTAGATTCTCCGATTGTCTGGTCTTGGTTTTCAGTGTGCTCTGGATGCTCTTTAACATGACAGAATCACTAGCATTCAGGTTAACAGAGCTTCCCTGACTCCCAGGACTGCTTTTAGAAGACATGCTGTCAAGGCAACTTGATGTATCAATATCTTGACTAGATCTGCTTGTTTCCTTGATGTTCTCCTTCCGTGGAGGCCAATCAGCAATCCTTGCCCTGACCCCCATTTTAGGGACTCCAGGGGTAGAGGTAACATGATGGGAACTTTCATTGCGAGGAGGTCCAACGGGCGCCATGACTGCAGATCCTAAGCTGCCATTCTGTGACCTAAAGCGCCTCATGTAGAAGTCATCCGAGTGGACTTTTGAGGTGCCATCTGTTCCGACTGATACCCCAGTGGCAACAGCCCTTTCGGTCTGGGACCGCTTCAAGCTGGTCATGATCTTTCAGTATGTTCAACCTTAGTGAGTTCCAAGAGAAAATACAGTCATTTCTGCTTTTTAAATGCACAGTTCTCTTTTGGAGAATAGTCTCCAAAATATACAATGGTTGCATGAGATCTTAATCATGCACATTTAAGGACACAGTTAAATGCAGGATGTCTAGAAAATTCAGATATTCAGTAGGTTTTGACAAGCAATAATTTCCTTTAACTTCTGCATTTTAACAAGTAGCCATGTTCCAATACATTCAAATTGTTTTAACATCACTTGCACTCCAAAACTTCAGAGTTGTAATCCAATCTGTTTATGTTTCTTTTAAGCCTAGAACAGACAAAAAAGGGAGATAAAAGCATTAATCATTTCATAGATAACTTTTTTCGTAACTGAAACTATCAAAGTAATTATTACACAGAATTATTATTTCTAACAAACGTGCTTTTAAATCTCGTTGACAATCATCTCAAAAATGCAGAGTTGTGTTACATGGTGAAGAGTTTTCTAGGTATTGCTGGTTTGCCTTCTGAAAAAATATTTTTGCATTTGGATTCCACACCTAAATACAATTTTCTCCTTATGAACTAATTAGTGATACTTTTTAGTTGGATCAGTGGGCAGAGTTTTACAAAGCACAACTAGGGATCTAACTTCCTCAGCTGAAGGACACATACAATTTACGTTTCCTGCAGAAACTACAGAGGAGCCAGATCAGGACTCCAAATTTTGTTTATGAATGCTTTAAAGAATTTACCATTTACAAGTCACACATCCTTGGTTGCTATTAGGTATTAACAATGCCTATTCAACTTTTCCATTAATGTAAATAACTATGATATGCTAACAAAAAAAAAAGGAAGGAAGCTAATTAGCAAAAGGCTTACAAAATGACAACAGAGAGAATGGCTGTCAATAACATTTATTTTGTTTTGCACAGCCCTATTTGCAGATTAGCTGGATAGTCCAGAAAGCATGTATTACCTCTGCCCAGATTTCACACATATAAAAAGACTAAAGCTAAGTAGAAATACATACTTTTAAATAACTCGACATGAAAAGTTCCATTTAGTCCCCTGGCTAACAAAATATTGTCTGCCACAGCTTTTGTATATTCCAGCTTTACAAAGCCATCAAAATTAAATGCTTTCCCATACCTCATCAGTACTGAAGACATTACAAAGCATTTAGCACAGTACCCTTTGAGGAGCTAAAAAGAAAAATTAAATCCACAAGCACATCCTTGCTGGTAGAAGACAAAAGCATGAGATTGTCAAGATAAAATCTTGCATTGCTGTGTACATCCTTTAACACAAAGAAGTTAATAATTTTCAAAGGCTGAACCAATTACACAAAATGTGGCCTTTAAATATTTGCCAAATGTGTGCAGAGAGATGCTGCTG